TGTCAGGACTGAGAGCTGGGGCTGTTCAGAGGAGCTGGGATGTGAGGGCTCTGCTCTCGACAATGGGCTCATGCATTCCTGGATCCATGGGTTAACATGGCAGTGGAACTGGGGTTTGTAGGAGGATGAAGAGAGACCTAAGCTAGCACACGCAGCCCCCTTGCTGTGTGATGCTCCATGCCACCTCGGGATTCCACAGGGAGTCTCCACCAGCAAGACGTCCTTCAACAGATGTGGGGCTTGACCTTGGACTTCTCAGCCTCCAGAACTATAAGAAACAAATTCTTTTTCTTTAGAAACTTTTCAGTTTTAGGTATTCTCTTATTAGCTGCAGAAAATGAACTAAGACAGATGGTAACCCTCAGTGGGATTCTTGTATGTCTTGGTGTTTGGCCCAGTCATGTAACAAGATCATGAACCTCTTTGATAAACATCCAGAGCTCTGGATAAAGCTCACATATTTTTCAAATTAGAATGAGGTAGATTTGTAATTCGCAGATGCTTGTCTTACCTGGCCAGCCAAAGAGCTTGCTCTGTAACCCACATACCTGTGACAGAGGGCCGATGCAGGTGCCCTCTTACAGGTAGGAGGACAGGGCGAGGTCCGCAAGCCAGACAGTGGGAATGATAATTTTTCTACCTCTGTAGAATTTATCGTTTGGTTTGATTTGACCCACTACCAGCTGTAAGAAATGAGAATGCAGAGAGAAAAAAATTGTATCTGTAGAATTTCATATTTAAACATCTGGCTGCTCAGGTCAGCAGACATGATGCATTTAAGGTGTGTTTAATTCCTTAGCTCTGTACTTTAAAATGAAGAAGTTAAAGTTAATTTCAACTTCGATGTGTAAGTATTCGTAATCAGAATGTTAATGTAGGCATGACACTTCTTGCTCTAATCTTTCCTAGAATCATTCTCTCTTACTTCCACTTGTCCTGTGAGACGTCGGTTACCTTCTGGGATAGGGACCCCTAATGAGCGATTTGTCCGTGTCAGGAATTTTTGAGCATTGCCCCTCTTTCTCTTGCCCTCTCTCACTTCTGTCGTTTTCAGTGGTCTCTGTTTTATCTCTGATTCTCTGCTTTTAGGATTCTCTTTGGCACTCACATACCCACCAAGAACTTCCCCAGTGTACTAGCTCTCTGCTGCTGTATAACAAATGACCCCAAAATAATACACACGTACTATCCACGTGTTGGGGCCTGGGAATGGGTTAACTGGGTCCTGGGCTTCAGGATCTCTCACAAGTCAAGGTGGCTGCAGATCTGCGGTCTCATCTGCAGACTTAACTGGGGAAAGACCCTCTCATGGTTTTGCCCAGGAGTCAATTCCTTGAGGACTGTTGGACAAACGGCCTCCATTCCTTGCCCACTGTTGTCTCCCTTCAGCTTCTCACCGTGTGGGCCTGTCTACCACCACAGCTTACTATTCAAGCCAATGACAAAGTCTTCCAGCAAGGTGGAAGTCGCCATCACAAAAATGACATCCTCTTGTTGGGTGGCTTCATTGTATCAGATAAAAGCAAGTTACTGGAGGGGAGGGGTTACTGGAGGGGAGGGGATTACATGAGACCATGAATCCACCAGGTGGAGTCACTCGGGCCATCTCAGAGGCTTCCTATGCCTTCCAAACTTTCAGATCGTAGAGATTATAGAGTACTAGAGAACCTGCAGTCTTCCTACAGACTCATGCGTCTATGGCCATACCACCCTGAACACGCCCGATCTCGTCTGATCTCAGAACCTAAAGACTCATGCATCAGTGAGGCTGGGCTAAAAGTAAATTGGAGAGTAAACATATATAAATATATTACTACATGTGTGTGCTGCATGTATGTTTAAAGGCATTCCATACCGCACATGTGTCTCAGTCACCAAAGGATATTTGATGGAGGCCATATTCTATCTTTTCTATTCTATTTGATGGAGGTGAATGAATATGAATTCTTGGAGTGCACACTGTCTTACTCCCTCACACTAACAAGGAGGAGGTCCTGTGGGTTTTGCTACAGCCATAATTTGTTAAAAACCAGGCTCCCTGGAGAGGCTGTCCTGGGGTTTGGGTTCTCAGTACCATCTGAGTCACTAGTGGGAGGCTTTTATCCAAGCACAGTTAAATCTTCTCCAGTTTCCCTTAATCTGGAGTCATTTCAATCTCACGTTGGTGTGAACAGGATATTTCTCAGGTATTTCTGTCCTTATGGAGCTGGTGACTTTGCCAGGTGCAAAGGCAGGTTTTGAGTTGGGTCCCTCGCAGGGAGGAGGCAGTGTGAGCTGAGGAAGCTGAGCTGCAGATGGGGACAGATCTGTGATGATATCAGCTTTTCGGTTGCGGTGGGTGGGGGGGCGAGGGCAGGTGCTGACTTGATTCCTTCTCAGGCTTTCTCTTCTAAGATGTAGATGGTGGGTGCAGTGTGGGCAAGTCAGTACGTCATGGGGGAGAGGAAAATGAGGCTTGAGTGGAAGTTTGTTATACATACAGGTCTGGGGGTGGTCACCACATGCCACACAGGGGTCAGCCAGCAGGGCACTCAACCAACAGGTAGGGCACAGAGCGAGGGGAGGGTACCTGTGGGCCACAGCCCTTGTTGGGGTCCCAGGTGGGGTTGAGGATAATTTGGCTTAAAGACAAACATGCTGTGGGAGATGAGGAAAGGAGAACCCAGCAGTTGGGTTCGTTATCAGGTGACCCCGGGGTTTTGGTCAGAGTTGGGGCCATCAGAGGATGTTGACGCCCCAAAGTGTGAACTCAAAATGCAGGATTTTGAACACATTTTCCTAAAAGGTTCTTTACCAGCTTAGTAGAGTGGAGAATTGTGCTGGAATCGAGCTACCTTTCATTACCCGAGTGATAAAGGTTCTCGACTACTCCTTGAACAGTGCCATTGTCATCTCAATGTTTTGCCAGTCCCTGCAGACTCCTGCCGGTGGCAGTGACCCCTCCCAATGGTACGATAAGCAAAGCTCCTCCCTGGACAAGGGCTGAAAGT